AGTCTCAGCATATATAATTGATTTTCTTTTTAATATAAATATTTTTCATGTTCTTTCATACTTTGGAGAATCGCTTTTGGCTATCGATAAGATACAGGGTGTACCAAAAGTCCATCCCACCCCTGCTAGCTTTTGAACGAATTGAGCTGGGGTAATGAAACTTTGGGAATGTTCCTACCTCAAAGGGGACCATCTTTTGGGGGGGGGGGGCAAAATTTTGGTCCCCCTCAGGGGGGCACGGGGGGCCCCCAACTTTTTTTTTTAAATGGCAACCCCTATCCTGTGATACCTCATTCGAAAGAGCATAAAAAACTAAGAATTTTGGCGCAAACCGCAGATTTGTATCTTAATTTTTGACCGAGTTATGATAGGTCCTTTGACCTATTTTCAAAAAGTCATAACTCCGGTTCAAACTATCGTAAAGAAAAAAATAAAACGGGAAAATTTACCAAATTGTGTCCGCTTTTAAGTAAAAATTGCAGAAATCTCTTCAATTTAATTTTAAGGGGGGGCTCGGACCCCCAAATACGTCAATTCGAAGGTCATTCAATTTTCCCGCGAAATAAGCCAATTTCCCCTAGATTTGCCTCCACATTATCTCAATAAGGTCAAAATTAGTTCAACATTACGTTGGCAAGTCCCCAAATTTCGGGAAAAGTTAAAAACGAAATTTAAGGTGATTAAATTTGACCGTTTAAATTTCGTTTTTTTAACTTTTCCCGAAATTTGGGGACTTGCCAACGTAATGTTGAACTAATTTTGACCTTACTGAGATAATGTGGAGGCAAATCTAGGGGAAATTGGCTTATTTCGCGGGAAAATTGAATGACCTTTGAATTGACGTATTTGGGGGTCCGAGCCCCCCCTTAAAATTAAATTGAAGAGATTTCTGCAATTTTTACTTAAAAGCGGACACAATTTGGTAAATTTTCCCGTTTTATTTTTTTTCTTTACGATAGTTTGAACCGGAGTTATGACTTTTTGAAAATAGGTCAAAGGACCTATCATAACTCGGTCAAAAATTAAGATACAAATCTGCGGTTTGCGCCAAAATTCTTAGTTTTTTATGCTCTTTCGAATGAGGTATCACAGGATAGGGGTTGCCATTTAAAAAAAAAAGTTGGGGGCCCCGCGCCCCCCCTGAGGGGGGACCAAAATTTTGACCCCCCCCCCCAAAAGATGGTCCCCTTTGAGGTAGGAACATTCCCAAAGTTTCATTACCCTAGCTCAATTCGTTCAAAAGCTAGCAGGGGTGGGACGGACTTTTGGTACACCCTGTATAGTCCCTAGATGAGACCACTCTATTCAGATAAACCCACGAGGGGTCCACAAAGCAGACCTGGTGCAAAGCACCCTCGGGAGTTGGGAGCTTAGCAGCTGGGGGGCAAAGCTTCCTTGTTTATCTTAAAAGTAATATTTGGGATGAAAGGGCCATAAACCAGCATAATGTTCTCAGCGCTTAGGAGGAATTGACAGGTTTGATGGTTAGGTACCTATTCTAAAGGGGCTCCCTTTTATTCTTCGAAATAAACAAATAGAGGGAAATTACCGAAAACCAGGGTTCCCTTGATTTTTTTACTTTCCGATTTCTTGACTTTCTTTGCTTTTTCCTGGCATAAAAATATTTAAATTCCCTGACCGTCGAACAAGACGTCCATTTAGATTTATTTTCCTTTCAGTTATACTGATTCCTACTATGTGCTACTTGCAAAAATTCCTGACTTTTCCTACAAATTCATTGACTTCCTTTTCCAGGTCACTATAAATTCCCTGACTTTTCCTACAAATTCCTTGACTTTTCCAGGTCGCAATAAATTTCCTGACTTACCAGGACTTCCCGACCGCCAGGAATCCTGCCAAACCAGCCTAACTGCATTTGGACTACATTTTGTGATCAGGAACTACAATTTCTGGCTCAGTTAAGGCACAACGTACGTACCATTTGTATCCCTATGCACACAAGTGTTTCAGATGAGCCAGAAATTGTAGTTCCCAATTGCAGAATGTAGACCAATTTTCTCTTATGCTTTATATTTCCTTAACAGAAAACTTAACTACTACTAGAATTCTTTATTTACTGACATTAAAACACCTGCTATGTTCTGATGCATCACTAACTCAATACAAGGTATTAATAATACTGAAAATGGACCGATAATGTTTTTCAAAATCGAACCTTGTGAAGAAATTTCAATGCTGCGGAGAAAAGTCATCAAAGGCAGGACCGCTTGCTACCGTGTTATCCCATGCCTTATTTTCCATATGGACAGCTACATTGAAATGGAAAACCGTGGTTTCTATGAAATTGTGTGTCTTTAAGAGGGCAAGAAGAGAGGGCAAGATGAGAGGCAAGAATCAAATACGCCTGCCGTATCAGATTCGGAGTTAAGTTTGGCTGGCTTGAGCTTCGTCTAATGGTGTTTTGCTATGCAGTTTTCATCGCCGGGGTCCAATTACGAAAGTGGTATTCGCAAAAAAAAGTTTTCAGAGAGGTCCTATTGAGTTTTGATTCATTATAGAAGGCGTGTAGCAGTGTATTCTGTGATTTTAGTTTTGTCTCAGTCAACGAAAAGATCTTTTATGTTGGGTACGTATTTATACTTGGGGTGAGTAAGTCAAGGTATGAAAGTCATTTTTTCTTGAAAATACCTCTTTGCAAAGTTAAACTTTACAGAAGAGCCTTCCAAAAAAGGGCTTCTTTTGGCCCCTTTTCTGAAACCGAGGGAGTCCATTCGTTTGTGGCTCAAATGAAACCTTATGATGAGGCAAACCTCCACTAAAAATTTCAGCTTGAGTATGCGTTTGGTTTTAGAGATGCAGTGTTGCAAAAATGGCATATTTGAGCTTTAAATTCAACATATTTTCAAGTACGTATTTTTTGTAAACAACTCTATTGAATATTTTATGATGTTTTGTGACACTATATCAAAAGTTTGTGTTATTATTGTATGCATATTTCTATTGATACGGTAATACTGCTACTGCTCTCTCCGCTCCATGCAATCGTTGCTACGTGAATGAAAACCTGTTGAGGTGATTTTCCATGAAGTTCTGCATCTACCACACTCAGTTTGACCTGGGGGAAACGATTCGTTCTTGAGTTCAAGCGATTTTTCTGCGCGTTCCCGGTTACGCGCGGGCGGCAAATCGGCGGCGCTCCATCCCGCGCGGGCGAGGCAGAGGTTGTTTCACCACTAGGGCCTTATATTCATGCTGTAGGCTTTAATTATCGATATTTTCTCCTCTCCCCCACCCTTCTCCTCCATTAAATATGTTTTTATACTTCGTTATACAGGGTGTCCCAGATCACCCATACCAGGTCTTTTTCTCGGTTGGTTTAGGTAGTACGAAGTGGCTGACCTCAAGGTTGAATAGGGAATTGACCGCAAGGAATCCGAATTTCATCGTCCGAACCCCCCCCCCATGTCCCCCTTGGGGGAGAAGTAAAGAGGGGGTCACGATCTCCTCCCAAGGGAGACTAGGAGGGCTTCAGGACCATGAAAATCGGATTCCTTGGGGTCGATTACCTGGAAATCATTTTTTTCCGGAGAATCTAAGTCAATTTTTGACCAAAGGGAAATTATGGAGGGGGCCGCTGTCACCGTCTTTAAGAGATAATTTTTGGCATTTAGTGGTCCGATTTAGGATTGTAAGGGGTCAGTTTCGCGTGACATTTTTCGTTCTTTCCAATTTTAATGCGATCAAATCGTAATTCTATCGGGGACCCCGACTTTCGGGATCGTGACCCCCCTCTTAATCCCCCCCCCCCAGGGGGACATGGGGGGGTTTCGGGACGATGAAATTCGGATTCCTTGCGGTCCATTCCCTATTCAACCTTGAGGTCCGCCACTTTGTACTACCTAAACCAACCGAGAAAAAGACCTGGTACGGGTGATCTGGGACACCCTGTATAACGAAGTATAAAAACATATTTATTGGAGGAGAAGGGTGGGGAAGAGGAGAAAATATCGATAATTACAGCCTACAGCATGAATATAAGGCCCTAGCGGGTGAAACAACCTCTGCCTTGCCCGCGCGGGATGGAGCGCCGCTGATTTGCCGCCCGCGCGTAACCGGGAACGCGCAGAAAAATCGCTTGAACTCAAGAACGAATCGTTTCCTCCAGGTCAAACAAAGTGTGGTAGATGCAGAATTTCATGGAGAATCACCTCAACAGGTTTTCATTCACGTAGCAACGATTGCATGGAGCGGAGAGACGAAAAACGAAAAAAAGTCGAACCTTCAAAATCGAAAACATCGATTTATGACTATGATAAATTACGCAACCATGCAAACAGCATTAATATTCTGGCAGAGAATATTTTTTAACGTTTTTTAGCGCAAACCGCAACACTTACACTCAAACCGTTCGCGAGATATCGATTTTTAAAGTTTTGAGAAAATTGCAACTTTGCCCCCCTGCCCCCTCCCCCCTAATTATCAGAGGGGGCTGAAATTTTGCCCAAGCATCGAGGACACTTAGTACAACATCTGAGGAAAGTTTGGGCCAAATCCAGGGGGGGGCCATAATCGGCGTTTTTGGCACAACCTCTTTCTTTTTAGGCTTCGTAGCAGGCTCCCCTCTACGAAAAAAAATCTTGCAATGGGTAGACTAACATCCATTATGGGAGCTTGTTTCAAAGAAAGTCTGGAGCCTGAACTTTATCAACTTACTACAAATTTTAATGTGATAATGAAAACTGCTTTGTCGCAAAAGACATTTGTCTGATGGAATGGTTTTTGTTAGTCAAAAATATAACTGCTGTAAGTACGGAAACATGTGCAGAATAAAAGTAGAGGGGAAAGTAGCATTATGTTTGCAGAGCATAAGAGAAATAATATGATGAATAAGAGAATAATTCTTTGAAATGGAAAGAATTACTAGCACTTTATAGGAACTGCTTTCATAAGCTACAATGAAAAACTTGGTTAATTAAAACACACACACAGAATTAAAAAAAAGAGGAGGGAATACAAATAAAAATTGAAGAGGAACAAACCTGAGGGTGTTGAGGATATGGGTCTCCGTCGCCAGGGAGCACTATCATTCCTAGTAAAAGACCTGGTTCCTACTAGCCGTCTACTGCACACACAAAATGGAATCATATTAAAAGAAGGTAGATTCAAGGTGGGGGGAAGCATTGATCAGGATAAAATCTCTGAGTCAAAACTCAGGACAAATCCTGATCCAAAATAATTTTTCTTTTTAAAATGAAATGATGTAGTGCGAAAACCGCTGATGTCCATTTTCTCTAATTTTGAGAGAATTGCAGAGAACAGTAGAGACCTTTTAAATGGGGGATTAAAACATGTTCAGAAGTTAATTATTACTGAAGTGGATTTTAGAAAAGGATTCCCAACAGTCTTCAGCTCCTTTTCTGTCTGGTACGGAGTAATTAAAAAGAAAGGACTCTGGACATCCACGGTTTTCGCATGATACACCAAAATCTCCGAGTTTTGGTACCGTATGATATGTTCAAAATTCATTCCAAAGATATTAAAACGGTAGATTATCATTCAAACGAAGTTAAAAAATGAAAAACGAAGTTAAATTGTGGCACCAAAAACGAGGTTCATCACGGAATTACCAGCAATATGTTGGACATTAGCGGTTTTCGTACGCTTTGTGCAAAAACGATTCTAAAGCATCGAAAACGCATATTTTTAAGTACGGAAAATGAAATATTAACAAAAAGGTATCTTTATAAAGTAAAAAACAATGAAAGCACACATTCAACTTTGAAAAAGTCCAAGTTTTTGAAAATCGGCCAATTGGATTGCGAGTAAACTCAATTTTGCTAAAACAACCTCTCGTCATCACGTATGGTTACCTTCCAGGACACTAGCAAGTCGCACCAAAATTTCAAAATGGTTTTTTTGAAAGGCAAGGAGTACTGTATTAAAAAAACAAAACAAAAACCACATATTGAATATACTTTGATTTTTTTTACACATCGACGGTGAAAGTCGGCAATCACATAACTCGTTTGCGGTGTCTGAAAATCTCCGCCTCTACGTCATTTTTTTAAAGGAGAGCAAATTGACATTATTTCTTGAAGTTTTTGCAGAATTTTCTTCGCATTGAGAAGAAAAATAATGACAGTTTTAAAGAATTGCCGTAGAGTAGTTTTCCATTTAAAAAATAAAGTATGACAGGAAGTCTGCGACGTCGCAAACCAAGTTATTTGATTGCCAACTTGCACCGTCGACATGCTCTCTCGAATAGAGTTAGACCATACATTTTTAGGTATATTTTGCTTAGTTTGTTACCTTGAAGTCTCAATTAGAAGATTAGAAAGTAGTATTTATTTATATGATGAGTTTAAATCAAACAATATACCAATAATGATAGGTATACAACAAAAGATAGATATTGACGGTTTTCACACGATTTGGACCCTGAAAAGGGGTTTAAACCTAAAAACCAACATTTCCACCACATTAATGAATGTGTCTAACATCCATGAGTATTGTAACCCAAAAGTCTCAAAATTGAAAAAAATGGACATTAGTGGTTTTTGCACGACACAATTCAATTATAGAGTTCATGTGACATATCTTAAGGTGTAGCACAAGGGGGCAAAGGGTTGTTCAAAAATCTGAGTGTTTAAAACGTCATACCTGATAGGCGTTTCCCCAAGTGTGTCTTCTGGACAAAGGCTGTACCTACTTACCAGAGCTACCTTCTTTTGAGGAAAAATTGCACTAGTTTAAACGGGGAAGGACAGGCCTAGCACAATTCTTGGGTTTTTTATTGCAGAACCAGATAGCACTTCATGGCACCACCAACTTTAAGCCACTGTCAGCGGTGAAATAATCACATATTGATAATATTATCATAAAACCCAACGAACGTCTTTATGATGCTTAAAGATCCTTTGACTCTCCCTCCCGAGATGAGAACTTGAAGTATGGGGATCTAAATTTTTTTTTTTTTTTTTCGGTTGTATTAACTATATACAAAGTGGAACGTTGTTTGGGCAGCAACTGAGGCCGATGGCCTACTTTTTGCCATCCACAAGAAGATTTTCTTAAAACTAGACTTCAATCTAATTATTTATTAAGAATTTTATCTTTGCCCTCCCCCAACACATATTTGAAGAGTCATGTCAAAACCGTGAAGCTGGGCGGTCACTTGCGCGACCGCTCTGGCAATTAAGTGCGAAAATTCAGTGAATTGTGATCAGAAAATTCTAGAACCTACACCAAGTGACTACTTTTAAGGGTACGGTCTCCCCCTAAAAGTTCTGACTCACATATCTCAAAGCCTTCTGAGATATTGAAGATTTAGTGATTATTTAATGACTATTTCATGAACCTTTTTGGTGAAATTTCTGCTTTTACAACACCGCTAAGCAATTAAAAACAGTGGTAAGACCCTCGCGAGTAGATAAAACCCTATCAAAGTGATAATCTCTAGTTATGAACGGATAAGAAACAACGGCGAAGTGAGAGTGGGAAGAAGCCAAACAAGGACAAGGACCAATTTCTAGAACAAGGAACAAAACGGAGAGACTATAGCACCCCACTGACCTCCTTCCCTCCGAGAAGTATTGACACATTTTTATGCAAATGACAACGGAACTTCGGACAACAGTGACTACCTAGCGTAAATATGACCTTTGATTGAAACTTCGGAAACCTTGGAACTCTATGGACCATCTGCGGATGTAAAACAAGACACTTTCTTTTGAACAATCTCTTAATTAAGAAATTGCCCTTGGGCTTAGTAAATCTCTTAAATGAGAAAATTTTGTAGTCTCTTTTGTGAGTACTTCCTGTAGGTAGTATTAACACTGTAAAGTGCTTTTTTAGACCTAACTTCGTTAACCTACTTATTCTTAATTTGGTCTTGGGCTCGCTGTGCGTGGGTGCCCATCTTTTGCGTGGGCTTAGGGGCGTGGCTTGTTGTTTCTCTTCGTCCCTGGCCCGCCTTGTAATTTCTGGTCCGTGCACTAAGTCCACCCCGTTCTTAAAAAAGAGTTCTGTGCTATGTGGCAAATCACTTGTAAAGCCAGAGGCTAGGGTGGCGGGGGGGGGAGTGGCTTGTTGCGCCCTC